TGTTTAGTAAAATATTAATACCTATTAGAAATAACTTATAAAAATGTGATAAATATATTTTATCTTTTTATAAGTTACTTCTAATAGATATATCATAAAAAAACTATAATAGGGTAAAAATCTCTTAACTAAAATGTAAATTGCTATGAAATAATATTTTAAAACTTGCCTCCAGTTTTTTACACAACCGGCACGCTGGCAAGGTCTGTTATTTAGTAAGCCATGGATCGAACACATTTCAGTAACTAAAATACAAGTAGCAAAAAAAATTTAGGGTACAAAAATATAAAAAGTGGTGGAACTATGTTATTTTTAGATGGAAATTACTTGGTTTTCAAAAACAATTGATGTTTTTTGGCAAAGTTTTCATATAGCGAGAGGAATTATGTTTGGTCCTCATGTTACACAAGTCCTAAAAACTAGTGAATAAAAAGTTAATTTTACATGCACAAAATATTATTATGTTAAAAAATACTTTAAAACTAAAATACTTATTATTTTGCAGTAATTAAAAAAAATTGTTTTAAATAACACCTTTATGCTTCGCTTGTCTTAATGTCTGAATTCGTAACACTAGGGCTCTTCCGCACAATTTATAATAGTAGTAGTAGTAGTAGTAGTAGTAGATATACATCAATTATAGTTGTCTTTCATTACTGATTGTTTAATAGATTATGAAAAAGGAGTAGAGGTTTTGCAAATAAATTTACAGTTTTCTCTATAGTTGATTGCTGGTTTGCTACAATGCCTATCTCTTTGAAATTTTTTATCCTTTTTGGTTGTGAACTTGGTCTTTCTTAGTCCAACTCCAAGTAACTTTTTTAAAACAAATTTGAAGCTTAACAACGACTGTTGATTTTAATATACAGCTTATTTTTCTAAAAGACACTTCAACAATCTTTTTAAAATAGGAACAGTAATCAGAGCAAAGAGAAAGACTTTTGAAGGTTGGCGCGCATTTTGAAGTAAGAGTTAGCGTGCGTTTTGAAGTAAAGGTTAGCATGCATTTAGAGTCCTTTGCTATTTATTATTGTCTTAGAAACTCTCTCTAAAGATTTCAGTGTTGGTTTACCATGTGAGTTTCAGAAGATAAAATAATACTATGATTTCAGTGTTGGAAGGATGAGATAGAAGCAAAAGGTAAACATAAGTAAGATAAAATTTATTCATTGTAATTTTAAGAATAAGAAAACTGAAAATCTTTTAGAGAGACACCATGTGGAATGTGTTATTAATTGTAAAATTTAATTATAATCATAGACGAAAAAGGTTTCCCACTCAATTTTTCAAAATACGATTTGCACAGCTTTTTTGTAAATGGATCCCCAAATAGAAAACTATAATTTAGCCAAATTTAATCACCCCAAACCCAACCCTAACTTAATTTTATTACAACCCAAACTTAGTATTATTAGGTCAACCCTAAATCTAGCCCTGGTTAGTCACCATGTGTTGGATACAACTATCTCAAAATATAGACTTTATACATGTTAGTTATTCAAACACGTTTTTCATGTTTGAGTTCAGTAATACCCAACCTTTTACAAGTATTTTTACATATTATTATAGGTAAATACATTTTATTATAGGTTAGTATAGATAAAAATATTAAAATATTGCATAACATATAATTTTAAATATTCTTTTAATTGGCTAAACAACCTGCATTGGTATCAGATTTTTTTCCATCAATAGAAGAGAATAGGTTGAGAAAAGAGTTTTTTTTTCCATCAATAGAAGGGAATAGGTTGAGAAAAGAGTTTTTTTTTCCATCAATAGAAGAGAATAGGTTGAGAAAAGAGTTTTTTTTTCCATCAATAGAAGGGAATAGGTTGAGAAAAGAGTTTTTTTTTCCATCAATAGAAGGGAATAGGTTGAGAAAAGAGTTTTTTTTTTCCATCAATAGAAGGGAATAGGTTGAGAAAAGAGTTTTTTTTTCCATCAATAGAAGGGAATAGGTTGAGAAAAGAGTTTTTTTTTCCATCAATAGAAGGGAATAGGTTGAGAAAAGAGTTTTTTTTTCCATCAATAGAAGGGAATAGGTTGAGAAAAGAGTTTTTTTTTCCATCAATAGAAGGGAATAGGTTGAGAAAAGAGTTTTTTTTTCCATCAATAGAAGGGAATAGGTTGAGAAAAGAGTTTTTTTTTCCATCAATAGAAGAGAATAGGTTGAGAAAAGAGTTTTTTTTTCCATCAATAGAAGGGAATAGGTTGAGAAAAGAGTTTTTTTTTCCATCAATAGAAGGGAATAGGTTGAGAAAAGAGTTTTTTTTTCCATCAATAGAAGGGAATAGGTTGAGAAAAGAGTTTTTTTTTCCATCAATAGAAGAGAATAGGTTGAGAAAAGAGTTTTTTTTTCCATCAATAGAAGGGAATAGGTTGAGAAAAGAGTTTTTTTTTCCATCAATAGAAGAGAATAGGTTGAGAAAAGAGTTTTTTTTTCCATCAATAGAAGAGAATAGGTTGAGAAAAGAGTTTTTTTTTCCATCAATAGAAGGGAATAGGTTGAGAAAAGAGTTTTTTTTTCCATCAATAGAAGGGAATAGGTTGAGAAAAGAGTATTTTTTTCCATCAATAGAAGAGAATAGGTTGAGAAAAGAGTTTTTTTTTCCATCAATAGAAGGGAATAGGTTGAGAAAAGAGTTTTTTTTTCCATCAATAGAAGGGAATAGGTTGAGAAAAGAGTTTTTTTTTCCATCAATAGAAGGGAATAGGTTGAGAAAAGAGTTTTTTTTTCCATCAATAGAAGGGAATAGGTTGAGAAAAGAGTTTTTTTTTCCATCAATAGAAGGGAATAGGTTGAGAAAAGAGTTTTTTTTTCCATCAATAGAAGAGAATAGGTTGAGAAAAGAGTTTTTTTTTCCATCAATAGAAGAGAATAGGTTGAGAAAAGAGTATTTTTTTCCATCAATAGAAGAGAATAGGTTGAGAAAAGAGTTTTTTTTTCCATCAATAGAAGGGAATAGGTTGAGAAAAGAGTTTTTTTTTCCATCAATAGAAGGGAATAGGTTGAGAAAAGAGTTTTTTTTTCCATCAATAGAAGAGAATAGGTTGAGAAAAGAGTTTTTTTTTCCATCAATAGAAGGGAATAGGTTGAGAAAAGAGTTTTTTTTTCCATCAATAGAAGGGAATAGGTTGAGAAAAGAGTTTTTTTTTCCATCAATAGAAGGGAATAGGTTGAGAAAAGAGTTTTTTTTTCCATCAATAGAAGGGAATAGGTTGAGAAAAGAGTTTTTTTTTCCATCAATAGAAGGGAATAGGTTGAGAAAAGAGTTTTTTTTTCCATCAATAGAAGGGAATAGGTTGAGAAAAGAGTATTTTTTTCCATCAATAGAAGAGAATAGGTTGAGAAAAGAGTTTTTTTTTCCATCAATAGAAGGGAATAGGTTGAGAAAAGAGTTTTTTTTTCCATCAATAGAAGGGAATAGGTTGAGAAAAGAGTTTTTTTTTCCATCAATAGAAGGGAATAGGTTGAGAAAAGAGTATTTTTTTCCATCAATAGAAGAGAATAGGTTGAGAAAAGAGTTTTTTTTTCCATCAATAGAAGAGAATAGGTTGAGAAAAGAGTTTTTTTTTCCATCAATAGAAGAGAATAGGTTGAGAAAAGAGTTTTTTTTTCCATCAATAGAAGAGAATAGGTTGAGAAAAGAGTTTTTTTTTCCATCAATAGAAGAGAATAGGTTGAGAAAAGAGTTTTTTTTTCCATCAATAGAAGGGAATAGGTTGAGAAAAGAGTTTTTTTTTCCATCAATAGAAGGGAATAGGTTGAGAAAAGAGTTTTTTTTTCCATCAATAGAAGGGAATAGGTTGAGAAAAGAGTTTTTTTTTCCATCAATAGAAGGGAATAGGTTGAGAAAAGAGTATTTTTTTCCATCAATAGAAGAGAATAGGTTGAGAAAAGAGTTTTTTTTTCCATCAATAGAAGAGAATAGGTTGAGAAAAGAGTTTTTTTTTCCATCAATAGAAGAGAATAGGTTGAGAAAAGAGTTTTTTTTTCCATCAATAGAAGGGAATAGGTTGAGAAAAGAGTTTTTTTTTCCATCAATAGAAGAGAATAGGTTGAGAAAAGAGTTTTTTTTTCCATCAATAGAAGGGAATAGGTTGAGAAAAGAGTTTTTTTTTCCATCAATAGAAGGGAATAGGTTGAGAAAAGAGTTTTTTTTTCCATCAATAGAAGGGAATAGGTTGAGAAAAGAGTATTTTTTTACTTTTAATAAGTAAGAGTTTGATGTCTTTGTTTATGTTAAATATTTGAAATATTCCAATTTAATATTTTAACAATAAAACTTAGAGTGTTTGACATTAAAGTTTTTGAACTAGTCAAAATTGCTTATTCAAAACTATTCTGTTTTGAACTAACCAGAATTGCTTGTTCAAAACTATGTTTTGAATTAGTAATCAATTACTTTCAATGTAATTCAGATTTACCTCATGAGAAACTTCTTTGCATCTAACTCTGTGTTTTTTTATTGCAAACCATGACATAACCTGCAATCTTTATAAAAAAATTTTGATGTTGATGTGAAACAAATACAACTCTTTCTTTTATTGGTTTACTGTCTTTTTTTAAAAAAAATCATTAAATATTTCAATTTTTCTTTGTCATTAACAATTTTTAATGAAAAGCTCATTTAATATTTTGACATGTAAAATCTCTCAAGATTTTTTTGACTAACAATTGATTGAAAAGTTTGAATTTTTAAAGTTAATAGAAAACAATATTAAATGTTTGAGCTGTTGTTTGTTAAATGTTGCTGTTTGTTAAATGTTGTTGTTTGTTAAATGTTGTTGTTTGTTGAGCTGTTATTAAAAAATTTTGTTATTATAACTTTAATATCTGTTTTAAGGAATCAGAATTTAAATTGTGCCAAAAATCTTTTAACCAAATAATATTTGTAAAAAGCAACTTTATTTTTGAACTTTACTCAAAATGGTTGGATAATGGTTTACCATTATCCCACCTAATAAAAATTATAAAAAGTAGAAAGAAGCAAACTTACAGCCTGAAGTAAAAAACTTGGATCATATGTCATCAGGTTCAAGAGATTATCAATAAACTTTTCAGTCCCTTATAAAATATAATTAAAGTTAAAATTCTCAAAAATTTAGATAAAAGCTTGTAAAGATTAAGTTGGAAATAATAATAATAACAATAATAATAATAATAATAATAATAATAATAATAATAGCAATAATAATAATAATAATAATAATAGTAATAATAATAATAATAATAATAATAATAATAATAATAATAATAATAATAATAATAAGTAGAAGAAGAAGAAAAAGAAAAAAAAGAAAAAGAAAAAGAAGAATACTTTTATAAAATAATGTTTGCAAATAGTTTCTTTTCATTGTATCTTAAAGATCTTTAATATTATTCTTAGGCAAAGATTATGGTTACACCATATTAATATACACATGATGGTAACAGTGGTTACACCATATTAATATACACATGATGGTAACAATGGTTACACCATATTAATATACACATGATGGTAACAATGGTTACACCATATTAATATACACATGATGGTAACAATGGTTACACCATATTAATATACAAATGATGGTAACAATGGTTACACCATATTAAAATACACATGATGGTAACAATGGTTACACCATATTAATATAAACATGATGGTAACAATGGTTACACCATATTAATATACACATGATGGTGTGATGGTGTACTTGCCTGGTTTTTTAAAACTTATTTATAAACTTTGAACATATTGTCTTTTGCTAATGCAGGAGTTGTATGTAATCATTTGATTAGTTTCTTTGTACGAACACTTTTTTAGGTGTCAGTTTTTGTATAATATAATCATTTTATTTGTATGAAAATAGTACTTTATTAAAAAATAATATTATTATTTATAATTATCAATAAAACAACTAAAAAGACAACAAAGTCAACTAACTAACCAGGCAACAAATTGAATTGAATAAAGGTTTAAGCTGACAATAGTAAAACATTAGCAATCATAAAAATACTAGCATTAACAATACTGTTTTAATCTGTAAAGTGTAAAATTATACTTGATCTGAGAAAAAGAAGGTTTATACATAATTAGATAATTTTAGGCTTAGATGGACTTTGTCATTGGTCATAATATACAATGATTGAGTACAATTTAAGTGTTCTTGTGAATTGAAATCCCAAGTAGATGCAGGTGCAGCAAGTTGGAAACTAACTAAACCATATTTCAGCAGCAACATTACCAAATTCAAGCAAATTCAGCATTATGTAAAAAAAGCACTAGCTGCTCTATGACACCCCATCTCCACCCTTTTCTCATTTCTAGAACAAGAAGAGAAAACTGAAAACACCAGGGCAAACACAGAAAAAAATATCTGATAAAACAATTTAATACCAGTTAAAGCTTTAAATATGTTCTGTATCCCACATTATCATCTTTGTTTAAAACAGGCGACACATAATTGTTTACAAAATGACAACTACATGCTCTAAGCACACCCAGTCACAATATGTATTGAGGAGGTCAACTTTTTCACAAACTGCATTTGTGCACTAGGGAAATTATTTTTTTAATTAAAATCATCAATAAGTAATCAGCTGCCATTCAAATTACACCTATAACACCAGTCCATAAGCAAAAATGTAATTTATAGATATATGTAATATCTAATTTGATAATCAAATATATAATCAAATATATATATTTATATATATATATATACACATAATCAAACACTATGTAAAATAAATTTACAATTGTTACAAGTTTGATTATATATAATTAAACTTGTAATAATATACAGCCATAGACTAACCAAATTTGTAATAATGTACAGCCATAGACTAATCAAACTTGTCAGCATGCTAAAGTTTGGCACCAAGCTTTGTCAAAGTGTACAAATTTTATACTTTTCTTTTTTAATTAAAAATTTGATTAATAAGTAAACTAAATTAAAAATTTAATAACTTACCAGATAGTAACTTGCGCAAATCATAGTTTCTTCTATGTTCAAAAATTTTTGTAAGTTGGGTGAAAGTTAGAACACTTAAAACTTGATGGTAAACATATGTTAGTTGAAGAACAAGCTGTAAATAATCAAAATATATATTTTAATTATTTATTACTTATTATACAACATGTAAGTTGAAGAACAAACTGCAAACAATCAAAATATTTTTTCATTATTTATAACTTATCATAAAACATATGTTAGTTGAAGAACAAACTGCAAATAATCAAAATATATATTTTAATTATTTATTACTTATTTTACAACATGTTAGTTGAAGAACAAACTGCAAATAATCAAAATATTTTTTAATTATTTATTACTTATTATAAAAAAAGGCAACAATTTTAATATTAGTAATTTTATTTTATTAGTTAAAAAAATAGATAATTGCCAACCTTGAACTGTTAGAGGTCAGCATCAGGTCAGCAAAAAAAAATTAACACAAAGGGATTACCATAAAACATAAAAACGAGGTCGGCAATTTTTGCCAACCTCAAACACTTTGAGGTCAATAGTCAGGCCTAATTCTGAGGGCTGATAACAACATGTTTAACATTTTAAACATGTGTTTTATTTCTCGCTTAAAATTTATAAAATGCAGCATCAATTTTTGTAAAATACTTAAACCTGAAACTATCTAATCCTATCTAACTATCACCATATAGTCTATTATTAATAAAAAACTAAATAAAAACAGGTGGATGCAATCAACTCAGTTATAAAGCTATAAAAATTTATATCTGTATTTTAAAACCATATAAAAAATGTTTTTTCATAAGCAAATCTTTCACCAACAAATAAAAAACAAAAGCAATTATCAAAGACATTTATTTACAATTGTTTTAAATTTTAAAAACGAGATAAAAAATGATTTGATAATCTCTAAAACTTTCCAAGTTACACCATATAAATTAAAGCATTTCAAACAAATTTCTAAAATTCAATATAGATAACAAGATTGAAAACCACATTGATTGTCAGAGTTAACTCTGACAATCAATACGGTTTTCAATCTTGTTATCAATATTGAATTTTAGAAATTTGTTGATCAGAGACTCAAAGATCTTGCTAATAATAGAGAGAAGACTGATTGGACAATAGTTGGAGGGGTCAGAATGTTCTTCAGAGTTTTAAAAAAATAGAACAACAGATGCCATTTTCCAGCAGGCATAAAAACAAGATTCATTCGAGCACTTATTAAATAGTTTAGAGAGAATTAAAGAGAGTTCTAGAGAACACTTTTGACAACATCAGAAGGCACATTTTTACATTGATTTCTTGCAATAATAGATTGTTCTCAAAAAGCTCTTTTAAAAAAAGAAAAAACTATTACGATTAGATATAGCAGCTAGACAGGTGAAGGTAAAAACCATGGAGTAGAATGAGACTTGGCATGAGAATGAGACTTGGCATGAGAATGAGACTTGGCATGGGACAACAAGATAGAATAAAAGCTTCCATACTTGGATCCAGGAGTTTATGTAGGATCCAGGAGTTTATGTAGGAAATGCATTTATCAGCAGAGAGAAAAAAGACACCAGCTTAAAGACCGCCACAAAGAAAATCACAAAAAGAATTCCGGTCAGCTTTAAGGTTATTGATTGGTCTTTGCAAGGTCATCGCAGATGGTCATGTCGTGTTTTTAACCGTTGAAAAGGAAAAAGAAAATAAAGGAAGGCAATTAAAAACTGAATTAATTACCAATTGTTTCAAATAAAGAAAAAATATCAAAATAAAAGAAGAGTAAAACAAAAAAACATATAAAAAAAGAAACTTTTAACAAACAATCACTCTAAAACAACATTAAAAAAAAAACAAATAAAAGAAAATTCGAACATCGATTTTTACTTAACAAAAAAAGAAAAAGAAAAGAAAAGAAAAATAGTTAAATAAAAAGAGATAAGTTGATAAATTAATAAGATCAGAAAAGAAGATCAGTTTCTTAAAAGAGTAGATAATTTTTATAGTTTTTATTTGTATCTATTATTTTTTATCTTATTTTAAATATTACACGATTATTTTTATTTATATTACTATAATTTATTATTAGATTACTTGATTTGATATATAATAGTATTTATTTTTATTATAGTTATTATATTTTTTAATTTACATTTCTCTTAACTTTAATTAGTTTTTTTACTCTTTTAATCTGATTTTATAATTTTCTTCAAAATTTTTATTTTTGTTTACTATTTGTTTGGCTGTTGCATTGTTTAACTACCATTAATATTATTTATTATAATTGCTAGTTTTTCGATACTTTAATTGGTTGTTCTTAATTATCTATTCATACACATTATCTTATTTTAACAAATATTAATAACATAGCTATTTACTTCCTACTTATTTTTTCTTACATTCTCTCTAATATTGCGGTTCCACTATGGTTTTAAACTGTCATTTGTGTAAAAAATTAATTAGTCAAAGTTGCCACTCATCTCAATGTAATATTTGTTTATTTTGGTCTCATACAAAATGTGACAGGCTTAATGATATTAAGTACAATTAAGTCGTTTGCTGCGGAGTTATTAAACTGTATTAAAAGTGTCTTCCCATTCACAGATGTACAAGATAATGAATTTAAATTGCTATTTTCTTCTGATATAATTCTTAAAACTGATGATTTACCTCTGTCTACAAACCTTTTCCCGTCTTTTCATTTAAAATCTCAAATCAAATTAATAATTATGATTCATCTCGTGTTTTAGATTCTGAGGAAGAAATTTCTTCTTCATTAGACATATTTTGTAAATATTATGACATAAGCGAATTATGTACACTTAATTTTAATAAAATAAGCGCTCTCTATCTTTTTCATCTAAACATATCATCGTTACAAAAACACTTTGAGGATTTAAACATAATATTATCATTAATTAATTTTGATTTTTCCATTATTGGTATAACTGAAACAAGGTTAAAAAAAGGAACATCCTCAAATCATCCGATTCTCATTGATAATTACAACATTGAGCAAACACCAACGGAATCCTCTTGTGGCGATACATTACTATATTTATCAAAAAAACTAATATACAAACGAAGAGATGATTTAATGATTTATACACCTAATTGTTTAGAACCCACATTTGTTGAAGTTATTTCTTCTAAAAAGTCTAATATTATTGTTGGTTGCATTTATAGACACCCTTGCATGGATATTAATATTTTTAATAATATCATGTCTGTCTTATATTCTTAAAAAAATATCTGCTGAAAATAAATCTGTTTTCTTACTTGGTGAATATAATATTGATCTGATGCAATCAAATAATGACATTGCGACATCTGATTTTTTAAACTTATTTTCTTTTTATAATATTCGCCCTTTTATCACTTTGCCGACTAGAATTACTCTGCTACAATTATTGATAATATTTTCTCTAGTTTAATAGCTAATGAAATTGTTTCAGGAAATTTGACAACTTCTGTTTCTGATCACTTCCTCAATTTTGTATTTGTCCCAATTTCAATAAATTATTTATACTGCGCAGACACAATTTATGTAGCAGGAGTTTTAAAAACTTTAATAAAGAAAACTTTAAATATGATTTATCAAAAATTGACTGGGACGATATTACAAAGTCCAATGATACTAACACATGTTTCCAAACGTTTATTACTGAAACAACATTGATTTTAGATTGTTACACCCCACTTAAAAAATCAGTATAAAAAACTTCAAACGTCGATTCAAACCATGGATTACAAAAGGAATTATAAAATCTATTCAAGTGCGCAATCTTTTCCAAAAAAAAATGTTAAGATCTAAAGATCTTATTAATAAAAAAAAAAATTTGAAAGTGTTTTTAAAAGATATAAATATATGATAGTTACATTAATTAAACTTAGTAAAAAAAACCATTTAAAATTTTTTTTCTCAGAAAATGTAAAAAATCTTCGCGAACTTTGGAAAGGTATTAACACTCTAATAATAATGTAAAAAATTTGAATAAATTATCTCCCAACTGTTTGCAAGAAAATGATACATATATAACTGACCTGACTTTAATCTCTGAATCATTTAACAATTTTTTTACAAATGTTGCTCATAAACTCAAATCCAATATTCATTCATCTTACATTAACTATCAAAAATATCTTTAACATACAAATTTACATAGTTTATTATTATCTCCAACAAGTATTTCTGAAATTTCTAAATTGAATCCAAAAACATCATTAGGTCCAAACAGTATTCCCACAAATATTCTAATAGATTTTAACTACGATTTTTCAAATATTCTTTCTAAACTATTTAATATCTCATTTATAAATGGAAAATTTCCTGATATTTTGAAATTGTCTTGCATTATTCCAATATTTAAAAATGGCTCTAAACTTTCATGCACTAACTACAGACCTATTTCTCTTTTATCTAATATTAGTAAGCTTCTTGAAAAACTTATGTATTCTAGAGTGTACTAATTTCTAAACTCATTTAATTGTTTAAATGATTTTCAATTTGGTTTTCGATCAAAACATTTTACTTGCCATGCATTAATAAATATAACGGAAAAAATCAGAAAAGCTCTTGATACTGGTCATTTTGTTTGTGGTGTTTTTATCAATTTACAAAAAGCTTTCAATACTGTTGACCATATTATTTTGATTTCTAAATTAAAACATTATGGAATTCGTGGTATTGTAAATGACTGGTTTCGATCTTATCTTGCAAATCAAAAACAATTTGTAAGTATTAATGGTTTCAATTCTAGTTATAAATAAGTTTTGTGTGGTGTTCCTCAAGGTTCTGTTCTAGGTCCTCTTTTGTTTTTAATCTACGTTAACAACCTTATCAACTCTGTTCACTTCTCTTCAGTCCATCTGTTTGCTGATGATACAAATCTCTTGCACATCAACAAATCGTATCATTCTTCATGTAAAAATGTTAATTCAGATCTAAAAGGTATAGTTCACTGGTTAAATGCTAACCTAATATGTCTCAACACCGAAAAAACTGAACTAATTTCATCTCTAAGAAAAAACAATTTCTTTAAAAATGTTGAAATCAAAATCAAAATTTATAATAAATGACTATATCCTTCAAGAGTTATTAAATATCTTGGTGTATTAATTGATTGTAATCTTTCATGGAACTTTCATATTGATGAACTAAGCAATCTCAAGCTAATGGTATGCTTTCAATAATTCGTCATTATGTCAATAAAGTTACACTTAAGAGTATTTACTACGCATTATTCTCATCTCATCTTAGCCATTGTTGTCAAGTTTGGGGTCAAGTTGGAAACTATTGCATTAACAAGTTGCTATTGTCTCAGCGTCAATTGATCAGATTAATAAACTTCCAACCAATTAAATCAGATACATCAAAGTCCTTCAAAAAACTTTTCATTCCAACATTTCCAGCACTAGTAAAGTATGCTAATCTTCTTTTTATTTTTGACTCCTTAAATAAAAATATACCATCTCCTATCACAAACTTGTTCACAGAAAGTAGACTATTACATTCCTACTCGACTAGAAATATACACAATGGAAACCTAAATGTACCATCTTTTAAAACCTAAAAGTATGGTAAACATTCTACTGTTTATCAGTGTGTCTGTGAATGAAACAGGAGCCTTGCATGCATTTTGAATGTCTAAAAAAATATATCCTAAAATACCTTTACTCCATCTTAAACAATACCAATTTAAAAAAATTCTAAAAAACATTTTATTCTAACTTTTTGGCATTATTATCCTTATGATTTAAATATTGTTTTAGTTTTCTTTTCATAATTATTACAATTATCATCAGCACTTTTTTATTTTTTTTTTATTAATAAAACCTGCAAATTGATTTCTACATGTTTGTTTTGATGTATATTTGAAGTGCTTTGGTTTGTATGTTTACTGTCCATCTGTTTCAGTGTTTGTCTTTGCTTATTATTACTTATATTATATTAAAAATTGGTGTCACTCCTTTGATCAGATTTCTGTATGAGTGACACCATTCTAATAAATCATTAACTTATTATTATATTAATATTAGTTATTATTATTATTATTTCATTGTAATTATTGTAAACATACTTATTATTACTATTACTATAATTTGTATAAATATTTTTTTTTTATCTTATGTTATTATTATATATTTTTGCTATTATTACTATTATTATTATTATTATTATCATTATTATCAAAACTATTGTAAAATGATTTATGGGAAATAAATAGCTTGTTGTTGTTGTTGTTGTTTATTATTCTAGTAGTATTTAGTGTGTTGATAAGGTGAGTTCAAAGAGGAAGTACAATATGAAAAACTTTTAGAGAAAAGAAAACAAGAAGAAACCGAACACAACCTAGGGTCAGAAACAAGACACAAATCAAGGAGTGAAGGTAACCAATTTGGGTTGTCTGGAAAACAATATAAAAAGTTAACTATTTGAGTAAGAGATTGAGAAATGCAGAAGTTATGAAGTGCCAGCTATGAAGTTATGGGATTTAGTGCCAGCAGGACTAGTGTCATCAGAGCCATTTAGTGCGATGAGTATTAAAGTCACTAATAATAAAAATATTGACAGAGGGGTAAAAGGAAATGGCGTGGGTAATTTGATCAAAAATTACATTTAAGAGTACAGTCTTGAGAAGGAAAACAATAAAGGACAAAGAGAGTGAAGAGATATTAGGCAGAAGCACATAAAAGAATGGTCAGAGAATTTAAAATTGATTTCTTGACAAATAGATGAAATGATGCGTAAATATATCCCAAGCCAAGCATGTGACCAATGGAGTCTTTGCAAATCAAAGGAAAATACCTATCAATACTGAGATCTGAAGAAGGATTAGCCAAATTTAAACCAGTCTCACAAAGAGCAAGTAAGTGTGGTGAATTTTGCAAGAGGTAAGATTCAACTGATGGGAAGTTACTTCAAAGATCGCAAATATTTGTGAAAGACATAGTAAAACAGTTAGGTGGTGGGGGTATATTTAATACATGATTTAAGTTTAAAGAGAACTTGACTCATTTATAATTGTCTTAGTTCTGCTAATTAAACCAAAGTTGTAACTTAGGACTCCTTACGTGGCCTCTACAATGCACATCAAAAGCACTAACAGGGACACCATCCATGCACAACCAGACGTTGTTAATACTCTGATACTTAACTCTGTTGTAGCCTCTATGAGAGCTACGACAGAGTTAAGGAAACGTTACTACCTCAAAACCAGCCTCAAAACCATTAAACTGAGTTTTAGATCTGTAAACTCATCAGAAAATAACAGGAAGCATAACCACTATTAAAGAAGCTCAAGCAAAAATTTATGAGTAAAATCAAAAAGATCCAGCATTTATCTTCCTAGGCAAGAAACAATGTAATACAGGTTTACATCTACATCAGCCTAAAAAACCTAAAAAGGACTTGAGGCTGGTCAACAGCCTTGAACAATTGTACTGCTTACCCCAAAAGTCTTTGCCTAGGACAACTTTTACAAGACAGTAGCTGGATACAGTTAAACAAGTCCAAGACAAGCATTTTTCTCGAGACAACATCTCTATTTTTTACTCAACCAAGAGCCTAAAGGCAGATGAATTTTATCTAAATGCAGTTAACATCTGCCTAAGATGAGTATTTTTATTGAGACACCAGCTCTATTCTTTAATTAACCAAAAACCCCAAGGCAGGGTATTTTGTCGGAGTTTGTTTCTCCTAGCATTTGCCTAAAAAAAGCAAACCTTTCAAGACAGTAGGGCATATGGCAGGTAGTACCGGGTTACATGATACTAGTGTGATTGTTACATGACCAGAGTAATTGTGATGATGAACCTGAACTGACCTGGAGTAGTTAAAACTGTAAGCTGTACTTTAAAATATTTTAAAGATATTTTGAAATTACATTAGGAAAAACATAAAATCTAACAGAATATGAGAGAAATTAAGAAGAACACAAACATAAATATAGTAACTTAGAGATAAATGAATACCGTGCCGTGAAACTCAGACAGAACACAAACATACATATAGCAACTTAAGGGTGAGTAAACACTACATCAAAATTTTAACAGAACACAAACATACATATATAGTAATTTACAGGTGAGCTAACACAGCACCTAAGAGACCTCTAACTATATAACAGACAAAAAAAAATATCACTATAAGCATTACAGATATTAGACAAATTGTAAGTATAGATGACAGAAAGAATATTTCTTTTAGCCTTTGCTTAGAAAATGAATCCTACAAGGCAGCAGAATATGGAACAGTTTGCACTGGATTATATGTTACTAGTAGCAGGGTAATCATGATGACAATTGCTTGACCTGACAATTAAATACAATCCAAATACATAAAACAAACACTGAAGACACTTTGAATACAAGAGCTTTTTGCCAGTTCAGAGCTCAGCAGAAAATAAAGAATCAATCATCTTTTAATTGAAAAAAAAAAATTTGTTTTTGAAATTGATTCAAAAACAAAATTTTGAAACAAGTGATGGCCTTGATTCCAATTTTTGCAATAATTTTAAAACAACAAATATTAAGAAAAAATGCTTACAATTTTGTAAATTTGTTTAATAAAAATGTGTTGTTTCACTACATTTTATACTTTATATTTGACCTATTTCTAGTGCCCTAAACTGTATTAAGGTATCCCATGGGGTTGGGTAAATTGATATAAATTTTTAGATTTACATTATTAGTTTGTACAAGCTTATATGTTATATTTTAATAATTTAACAATTTAATTTTGGAAATCTATTTCAAAAAACTCGTTTAAAAAAAAAAGAAAGGAAAAACCAGAAGTGTATAGTGGTGCACCACTCTCTCCCTAATTATGCATAACTCATGTATATTGATTCAGTGAACTGTTTAATTAAAGAACTGTTATTTCATTTATTTGGTTACGCATTTACTTATGATACTCTTGATGCATTATTTACACTAGCTTCTTGGTTATTTATTAGTTACGCATAAGGATAGATGCCTTTATCAATTATTTACCAATCAATTTTTTACTTTTACTGTATTATTATTTTGTGGATTTTTTTATGGGTTTTCTAATTTTAATGATGCTTCGCCAAATTTTATAATGATTTTAATAATTTCATTTAATTATTTTGGCATTACTGATCTGATGACCTATACATGACTTGATCATCAGTTTTAGCATAGTAACACACTTGTATAGATCACCAGTTTTAGCATAGTAACACACTTGTATAGATCACCAGTTTCAGCATAGTAACACACTTGTATAGTTTACCAATTTCAGCCTTAATCACCAGTTTCAGCCTTGATCACCAGTTTCAGCATAGTAATGCATAAAAAAAAGATTAAGTAAAAAGACGCATAGAAACACACATACACACACAAAAAAAAAAAAGCAAAAAGTGTGTCAAAACATTTAGCTACATCTTTTGTCTATGCCTTGTCTTAATAATTGTTTCCTTAATACATATAATATACCAAATATCAAATAACACCTAAAACTACTTGGGTCCTACTAATCACCCAGTCATTCCAAATAACACCTGAAACCACTTGGATCCTATTGATCACATAGTCATTTTGCTATACCTAATCTTTTAACAACTTTACCATATAATCAGCATCTGTTCCTTCATACTGTAAAACCAATAATTGTTCCTTCCCTGTCTGGGCTTTGGATATTACTCCTTTCATAATGTTTAATAAAATCATATAATTTGCAACTCTTTAAGACTTCTTTTAACTTCTTTCCTACTCTTAAGCTGTCTTCCACATTTTCTTAGTAACTCCCTAAATAGGATGTTTGCAGCCTTGTGAAAGTGAATTTGTATATAAGAAAAAATCATGTTTCTTTATTATGAGGGCATAAATACAATAAAACAATATTACTTCTAACAGTAGATATATAAAGATAAAAACAAAGAATTGTAAAACAAAAAATAACCTGGGAATGGAAATCAGATGATGAACAAACTGCTACCAAAATAATGGGCCCACGTGTAAGAAACACAAACTTATGCTCACCTGCAACAATGTATCTATTACAAAAAAAAATATTAATAAAAATAACAACACTTATAATAAACTCCTATAATTAAACAACTTTTTCATAAGAGCTTTCATAAGAGCTTTCATGAGAGCTTTCATAAGAGCTTTCATAAGAACCTAATGATATAAAAACATCTTAATCAAAGAAAAACATTTTATTTATAAGAACATAACATATAGAATTATAAAAACAATATTATCAAACTTAAGTACCATAATCATGAACATTTTGATTTATTTTAAACAAACACAAACAATGAAAAAATATTGCTTATGACAACTAAAACAATAAAAAAATATTGCTGATGACAACTAAAATAATGAAAAAATATTGCTAATGACAACTAAAAGACATAATGATGATAAAAAGCTGTTTTTATTTGTTATGTATAAAGTGAGAATTGCATTGTTTCTGTTTTTTTATTTTGTATAAAGTAAGAATTGCATTTTATATTGTTTCTGCTTTTTATATTGTATAAAATGAGAGTTACTTTTTACATTGTTT